ATAAATCTATAGGGAAATTTAAGAAATAGTAAAGCTAATATTGACTAGATGGCAATTTAGAACACTGGAAACACCGAGAATTGGAGTGCTTTATTTCTTTGTAAAATAATGTACCAAGAGCAGTGTTAGTCTGCTCATGCAGTTTATGATGTGGAACAAGGCTTCGTCCTCCACCTCGGCAAACTCCTTCCTGAGTTTGGATCAGCATCCGACATTTCCTCTTTGAACACTTCCAGTGTTGTCAGGCATTGCTGAACATTCCTTTAATAGGCACTTTCATTCATCTTTGGCAACACAATCACTTCTCTCTTTCCTGTTAGTAGGTTTACCTTCAATGGAGGCATATGCAAAACCTCTCACCCCCAGCTGTTTCAGAAGTCACTTCCAGCAACACCCCTTTTGTTGCCTTGCTTTGCTGGTGGTGACCAACGCCTTCACTTCACTTCACTCCATTTCGGCAAAAGGTCACTTGGGTTTATCACGGGCAGACAAGGAAGCAGCATTAACTACAGGCTTTGCTGCCTGTACCTGCACTGAACAGGTGCGCGGTGAGCAGCCCCCAGCAGACTGTCAAGGAAGTGATGTGATCAGTCTTTACCATGTCACACTTGTCATTTATTGAAACATTTATGGGCTGCAAAGCTAGCAGCAAAGTCTGCAAATTACTGTATTTATCAAATTGCTCACAATGGATATATCGTGGTAACTGAAATCTAAACTTCACTTTGATTTGAAGTCTGATGCTATTTTTTATTTTGTGTGTGTGTGTGTGTTTTGACAGGCAGAGTTAGATAGTAAGAGAGACAGAGAGAAAGGTCTTCCTTCCACTGGTTCACCCCCCAAATGGCCGCTATGGCTGGTGCACTGCGCCGATCCGAAGCCAGGAGCCAGGTATTTCCTCCTGGTCTCCCATGCAGGTACAGGGACCAAGCACTTGGGCCATCCTCCACTGCCTTCCTGGGCCACAGCAGAGAGCTCGACTGGAAGAGGAGCAACCAGGACTAGAACCCGGCGCCCATATGGGATGCTGGTGCCGCAGGTGGAGGATTAACCAAGTGAGCCACAGCGCCGGCCCCATCTGATGCTATTTTACTAAGCTGTAGTAAACTGAAGTTTATCAGAGCCAGACAAGGTGAGGCCTAGTGGGACTATAAATGTTTCACCCCTACCAAATCCCCATGCAAGCTCTTCCTTACCCTTTATAAAAAATTTGAGAGCTGGAGATGTGGAGCTGGGCAGGCACTTGGCACAGTGTTTCAGACACTACTTGAGACACCAGCATCCCTCATCAAAATGCCTGGTTCAAGTCCTGCCTCCATTTCCAAGTCCAGCTTCCTGCTAATGGGCACCTGGGAAGGCAGCAGGTGATGGTTCCAGTAGTTTGATCCTTGCCACTCACATGGGAGGCCTGGACTGGGTTCCTGGCTCCTGGCTTTCACCTGGCCCAGCCCCAGCTATTGTGGCCACTTGGAGCATGAATGAGCAAATGGGAGATTTCTCTCTCTTTCACTTCTCTCTCTCAAGTAAATACAATAAGATTTAAAAATATGCTTAAAGAATCTTTATCTCCTAACCCCATGGATCATTTCACCTATCAAATTTGGGGAATGCAAACGAGAGGACATCAATATTCAAATTCTGTTCACACTATCAAACAACTGAATAAGGGACTATTGTCAGTGTTGGACATGCAAATATCCATGTGTTTACTGAATGCCTACTGTGCGCCAACCACTCTCAGGTGCGCGACATAAGCATGTCCCCAGTCACTGGAACACATGTAGGAGGTGGGTGAGGTCATGTTCATTTTCAGTTGGGGAAACAGCCTCAACACAGGAAGTAATCTGTCCAAGGTTATAGATCAAGTGGCGCCAGTATTTGAACATGAGGCTGTCTAAACGTGTGTGTGCTTCTCACTACTTGGTCTCCCACTGCATTGGAAAGCATTGCCCCTTCGTTCCCACGTGTGCCGAGCTTCTGTAATTCCATACTCCAGAGCAATCGTGATCCCTGGTGCTGTCACCAGTGCACCATCGATACGATGGTTGGACGGACTGTGTCACAGTTCTGGAAGATTTTATTTTATCCATTTGAAGGGCAGAGTGAAGAGAGAAGACAAGACAGAGAGAGATCTTCCATCCACTGGTTCACTCCCCAAATGGCAGCAACGGTGAGGGCTGGTTCAGGCTGATGTCAGGAGCCAGGAATTCCTTCCGGGTCTTCCACATGGGTGGCAGGGGCCCAAGCACTCGGCCCATCCCCCACTGCTTCCCCAGGCACATTAGTAGGGTGCAGGATCAGAAGCAGAGCAGCTCATATGAGATGCCAATGTCACAGGCAGCAACTTAACCCTTGTGCTACACGTTGGCCCCAACAAACCTTTTTTTGTTTTAAGATTTATTTATTTATTTATTTATTTATTTTAAAGGCAGAGTTACAGAGAGGCAGAGGCAGAAAGAGAGAGAAAGAGATCTTCCATCTGATGGTTCACTCCCCAGATGGCCGCAACAGTCGAAGCTGAACTGATCCAAAGCCAGGAGCCAGGAGCTTCCTCCTGGTCTCCCACGTGGGTGCAGGGGCCCAAGCACTTGGGCCATCTTCTACTGCTTTCCCAGGCCATAGCAGAGAGCTGGATCGGAAGTGGAGCAGCCAGAACTCGAACCAGCACCTATACGGGATGACGGCACTGCAGGCGGCTGCTTTACCTACTACGCCACAGCACCGGCCCCACAAACCTCTTTTGAGAAGTACATTTCAATAGTAAATTTTTAGGCTGGCGCCGCGGCTCACTAGGCTAATCCTCCACCTGCAGCGCCGGTACCCTGGGTTCTAGTCCCGGTCAGGGCGCCGGATTCTGTCCAGTTGCTCTTCTTCCAGTCCAGCTCTCTGCTGTGGTCCGGGAGTGCAGTGGAGGATGGCCCAGGTCCTTGGGCCCTGCACCCACATGGGAGACCAAGAGGAAGAAGTAGCTGGCTTCTGGCTTTGGATTGGCGCAGTGCGCCAGCTGCGGCAGCCACTTGCAGAGTGAACCAATGGAAAAGAAAGACCTTTCTCTCTGTCTCTCGTCTCTCACTGTCTAACTCTGCCTGTCAAAAAAAAATAGTAAATTTTTAAACCTAAAAATCTTTAAAATTAAAGCCTCTACAAGGATCCTACTTACTCCCTAAGCTTTATAATTATAAAGCTCAGAAGGAAACTGTTGCAATACTTCCAAAACATCAGAAAAGAAATTACAGCTAAAAAAAACTATCCCCCAGTTTTTCTTCCTGGGGGTGGCCATGAAGGAAGAGCAGCACATTCCCCAGACTGCTCCGAGCAGACAAAGGTTGCTCCCTGCTGACCTGGAGGAAGGACGCATTCAAACCTCTGCGCGAGGGTTCCAGGAGTCTCCAGGAATGGGCCTTGGGGAGACGGGATGCACACACCCCCTAAGCCTCTGGTTCTCAGTCTTGCCTGCATGTGGGAGCCACTCGACCATCTTTTAGAACTGCTGGTGGCTCAGGCCTTTGACCCTGCTTCTGCTTCTGGCTTCCTGCTAATGTGTACCTTGGGAGGCAGCAGGTGGCGGCTCCAGTGCAGGGGCCCCCGCCACCCACGTGGGAGGCCCTGATGGAGTTCCAGGCTCCTGGCTTCTTCCACCTGGCCCAGCCATGATTGTTTTGGGCATTTAGGGAGTCAACCAGCTGATGGAAGATCTGTGTTTGTGTGTGTCTGTGTCTATGTCTTTCAAATAAAAAAATACATTTTAAAATTAAAAATAATAAAGTTCTGATTTCATTGGCCCAGGTTGAATCAAGAGTACCAATGTTTTTGAAGGCTTCACCGGTGACTATAAGATGGACCAAAGTCTGAGATCCACCGACCTAGATAATCTGATCAGGAAAACTTGCCACAGCTATTAACGGTGCTATTTATCAGTACGTGGAATGTGTGTGCACGGCTTGGAGTTACAGCTGCAAGTGATAAGGGCTGACCAATGAATCACTTAAATCAGATATGAAAATGTGTTCTGATGGAAAGCTATAGCATGAAGAATAAAATAACATGTAATTTATGCCAATGCCAACTCAAGACAATGTCATGGAGTATGCAGGTGTGTGTGTGTGTGTGTGTGTGTGTGTGGTGCAAACCAACTAGCATCCCAAGATTGGGTTGATAGCTGATGAGCACTCGGCCTGAGCCGCAGGAGAATACAGTGATGTGTTACTTTGTAATTAAGAATAAAGTAGGTTCAGGCCGGCGCCGTGGCTCACTAAGCTAATCCTCCGCCTGTGGTGCCGGAACCCCAGGTTCTAGTCCCGGTTGGGGTGCTGGATTCTGTCCTGGTTGCTCCTCTTCCACTCCAGCTCTCTGCTGTGGCCCGGGAAGGCAGTGGAGGATGGCCCAAGTGCTTGGTCCCTGCACCTGCATGGGAGACCAGGAGGAAACACCTGGCTCCTGGCTTCCACAGCGGCCATTTTGGGGTGAGCCAACGGAAGGAAGACCTTTCTCTCTGTCTCTCTCTCACTGTCTAACTCTGCCTGTCAAAAATAAATAAATAAATAAATAAATAAAGTAGGTTCAAAATCTAGGATTCGGGGTTTACTTCTGAAAGACGGCATTCCTTTTAGGCTGTAACCCCCAGGTGGAGAAAGGAGGCGGCGCTCAGACGGGGCAGTCATCAGACAGTTGAAGATAACATGGGAGAACGGGAAGAAACAAGGAGTCACTTGATTCCATCCCAGCCTCGGGCACAGGCGTGAACAAGAAGCCGTGGCCTCTGCTCAAAGGGCACCATGTACACCTCGGCAGACGGCCCTGGCCTGAGCCATTTCCCATCAGTCTGTGGGAGATGCATAGCTGATTTTTCCCCCAACCATCATGGAGGTTTTCTTTTCTTTTCTTTTCTTTCTTTCTTTCTTTCTTTCTTTCTTTCTTTCTTTCTTTCTTTCTTTCTTTCTTTCTTTTTTTTTTTTTTTTCAGGCAGAGTGGACAGTGAGAGAGACAGAGAGAAAGGTCTTCCTTTTTCCGTTGGTTCACCCTCCAGTGGCCACTGTGGCCGGCGCACCGCGCTGATCCGAAGCCAGGAGCCAGGTGCTTCTCCTGGTCTCCCAGGCGGGTGCAGGGCCCAAGGACTTGGGCCATCCTCCACTGCACTCCCTGGCCACAGCAGAGAGCTGGCCTGGAAGAGGGGCAACCGGGACAGAATCCGGCGCCCCGACCGGGACTAGAAACTGGGGTGCTGGAGCCGCAGGCGGAGGATTAGCCCAATGAGCTTTGGCGCTGGCCGGAGGTTTTCTTTTAATGGAGGCACTATTTAAGTGTGAAATAAAGTGCAGGAAAACCTCCCAAGGTTGCAGGAATGAGCAAAAATCTGACAAAGGGGCTTTAGTGCGTACTCATGTGAGAGCAGAGATCACAGGGAAGTCGTCTAAAACGTTTGCACAGAGAGCCAGGCACGGGGGCCTTGGTTATCACAAGAAACCACCTTGCAACTGGTAGACCATAGAATTAGAAGTGGCCCAAAAGAACACAAGAAAAAAATCATAACAAATGTTGCTTATTGAGGGGTTATAATACTCTGGTCACTATTCCAAGCACTTTGCCTCATTGTCTCAAAGTATCCTTATAAAACAATATACTGGCTGGGGCCAGTGCTGTGGCGCAGTGGATTAAAGCCCTGGCCTGCAGGGCCGGCATCCCATAAGGGCGTTGGTTTGAGTCCCAGCTGCTCCTCTTCCAATCCAGCTCTCTGCTACGGCCTGGGAAAGCAAAGGAAGATGGCCCACATGGGAGACCTGGAAGAAACTCCTGATTCTTGGCTTCAGATCAGCTCAGCTCTGGCCGTTGTGGTCATTTGGGGAATGAACCAGCAGATGGAAAACCTTTCTTCTCTCTCTCTGGCTCTACCTCTCTCTGTAACTCTGTCTTTCAAATAAATAAAATGAATCTTAAAAAATATATATATACTGTGATTTCACAGATGAGTGTGGGATTAAGTAACTCACCCATTGTCACATGTCACACAGGCAACATGGCGGCATCTAAGGTGCTTGACCACTGGGATACAATGCAAATAAGGGCACTGTTTCCCAAAGTGGGCCCTGTGGAACACCAGGCCCAGTGCCTGGAACTCTAACATCTTCTCAATTTTCCTGAGAATCTAATAATATTCTTAAAAGTACTTTTTTCTATACATATGACCTCCCATTGTCTTCCCATCCTATGTTTTGCATCTGTCATGGGTTGAATTTTTTTACATCCTAACCCCTAGCACCTGTGACATTATTGAGGCTGAGGTCTTTACAGAGGCAGTGCAGTTAAGTGAGGTTCTTACAACAGGATTTTAGCCAGTGAGACTCATGTCCTTATACAAGGGGACACTTGGACACAGAGAAGAGGCCATGAAGAGCCACAGGGAGAAGACCACCACCCTCTAAAGGCCAGAGAGGCCAAGGTCAGACGCTTCCCTTCCAGCCCTCACAAGGAACCCGCCCCAACACGTCTTGAACTCACACCCCTGGGGTTGGTTTGCGAGATGATCAATTCCATGGTTTAAGCCGTCTTGTTGCCAGTATTTTCTTAGGACAGCCCTTGCAAACGAAGACAAGGCCCCAACAGGAGGGGCTGGACTGGATTTCCCCAGAGCCAAAGGAGACAGGAGTTGGTGCCTGGAACTGGAAGAGGCGAAGCCCTAGAGCTCGGATGTTGATTTCCCAGGGTGACAAAGGCAGTGGAGGCTTGGAGCCTCCAGGAGATTCTTGCCCCACTTAGTGCACATCCCAGACCCTGGGATTCCAGAATGAGTAGCTCCTCTAAGCCACAGCCTTATTCATCTCTGGAAGAATCCCTAGGACAGAGCTGACAGGGAAGAGGGCAAGAGTGGAGAGAGGCCACCTGAATGTCAGTGTCCTGAAGACAGCCGAGAAGATCAGCAGGAGAAGGATGATGACCACGAAGGATGGGGAAGTGGCCTCCTCCCTCCCGCTTGCAGCACCATGGGGCCGGTTCATGGCCTCCCAGAGGAGCAGGGTCGTCTCAAAGCCTAGTGTCGAGGAAACACTCAGCTACAACAGCAGAGGCTCAGAGCAATAGTCTGTTTGGCTTAGAACTGTGATGGCTTTGATCCAACAGTGAGGGGACAGATTCAAACCTCTTTAAAAAATGTTAAGAAAATCCACCTATAATGTGGCCATTCTATACCCTTCTGGTACTCTGTCACTCTTTAGAATGCAGGAGTTATTTTTTAGAGATTTATTTATTTATTTGAAAGAGCCATAGAGAGGGAGAGGCAGCCGGTGGGGGCGGGGGGGGGGCACAGATCTTCCATTTGCTGGCTCACTTCTGCCACAACTGCCAGAGTTGGACCAGTCTAAGCCAGGAGCCAGGAGCTTCTTCCAGATCTTCCACAGGGATGCAGAGGCCGAAGCACTTGGGCCATCTTCCACTGCTTTCCCAGGCCATAGTAGGGAGCTGGATTGGAAGTGGAGCAACCGGGACTCAAACCAGGGCCCACATAGGATGCCGAGAGTAACTTCACCTGCTACATCACAACGTCGGCCCTGAGGTTGATTCTTGTAGATAATTTTACCCTGGGCAAAATTCTCATGTCATTTCATGGCCTATGACTTTCTCTGGGTTCTTTGTGCCAGGAGCATTCATGAAGAGTCCAAGTTCAAGATCGGGATCAAGGCTGCTGCTTGAGGCCTGAGCTGGGGCGTGAGTCCCACCAGCCAGGATACAGGCCATTTCTGGCACCAGAGATGATCCATACCAGAACTCAGCGTCCACTCTTGCAGGGAAAAGGCCAGGAAACCATCAGGAGCTCCCCGAAGTCAGGTGAAATTCTGAAGTTCAACACCAGCAGACTTCCCCTAAGCCTGTCCCCAAGACCTCGGATGGTCACCGGGCCCAGAGCCTCCTCATTCCAGCCTGCGGCCCCAGCGATGCTCCACACTGTCTGAAAGGGCAGGTGCACGGCACGTGGGCTGCAGTTCCCCTACGTCAGCACCTCCTTGTTCTCACACTTGGAAGTCAAGGCTGAAAGATCTGATTTGGTTACACCTGGCTTGCTGGCACGATTCACTGGTGTGCGCAGCAGATTTCACGTGTGATAAGTTTGTCAAGAATGTCACTTTCAGGCTCTGAGGTGTGGTGGAGGTGAGGGGCTGTGTGCTGTGTTTGGTGTTGCAGCTGAGGCCAGAAGGTTGGTCTCAGCTTTTCGCATGCGTAATGGAGTTCTCCGTTTGCGTCCACAGGACTCCCATAAAGTGGAGCCAGACCAAAAAATCCTACTAAGGCATCTGGAAGGGTCCGAGGCTTCCTATTTTTCCAGGGGAACATCAAGTTCAAGCTCTGAAAAGAAACAATGTTTCCAAGGAAGCAGAAGCGAGCCCTCCTTGCAGGCCATCCCTCCGCCCCACCCCCTCTTCCTCTTTTCTCCTCTCTTCCTTCCTCTTTTCTTTTTGCGTCTGTCCCCTCCATCCCCCCACCCCAGGCGTTGTCTGCACCGCTCGGTAGGAAAAGGGGAAAGATGTGAAATAAACCAGCACCCTATCGTACCCCTTAGCTCATAGGAGCCAAGAAAAAAAAAAAAAAAAAAAAAACCACAGCTCTGAGGAATGGACGCCTATCCAGACACCCCCACCGCCCCGTTTCAACAAGGACTTCAGCTGCTGATATGCACAGTTTTCAGAGGTTGTGGATAGCCCACGAGAGGCGATTGAAAAGCCCTGACAACCGCCAGGCCTGTTTCGGGGTCATGAGCGCACCACTGCTCACCCCGATGTTGAGTCAGCGTTCCACAGACCACAGAAAGGTCAGGGCGAGCTTCACAAAGTGAAAGTGCTGAAGTATATTGAAACTGTAGAAAAAAATAAATAAACCAACCCTGCCTCACGTCTCCGAGTCTCTGCCCCGAAAGTCTTGTTTTTATCTGGAATTACGGTAAACTCATTTCAGCGCGGTTGAGGCATGTGGTATTCCGAGGCATTTACTCTTCCACTTAATTGCAAGTTGCCACGTTCACTGTCAGGTCCTACCTCCTTTCCTTGGCTTTCCCTGCCCTTCTTGACTCCACCCACTTAGAGACCCAGACGTGTCTCTGCTTCTGAGTAGGGCAAGAGGTCTGTGGCCTGGGACACACCACGGCGGGCGGGCCACCATATCTCAATAGGGAAGTCCACCAGAGTTGGGGTGTGCTCCCTGGCGGTCCTGAGTCCCCGCGGAGCTCCTGCCAACCCTGTGTTCTTGTTAGCTCTGCTTAGCCCTGTGAGCGCCGGGAAGTGGTGATGGTATCTGTGAAGTGGGAATGAATACTAAGACCTCCCCAAGGACTCGTGGGAAGCCTGCAGAGCACATATGTAGAATCAGTGGGCACAGGGTTCGTGAACGCCTGCTCTGTTCTGGTGCCTTGGTTCCCCCACATCACAAGCTGCTCGGTCATCCAGACCCGTGCCCCAGGATGGCGTGTGTCCCTGACTTCCGCCCATCTCCTGCTCCGGAGGGCAAGATCCCCCTCCCACGGGGCTGCCCTGCTCACCCAGCTGCACAGCTGCTCTGCTTTGGGCGCCAGCCTGGGACTGTAGCTGAGTCCCAGTTGCTGGATTGCAATCAGAGATGCCAGTCAGTGCCAGTGCTCCTCCAGACGTGGCCCGATACGCACTGTCCTCCAGTGCCACTATGTCTCAGACCACCCAGCCTCCTTCCCCAGCCTGGCCTGCGTAGAGGAGAAGTGCCCTAGGTCACTGCCCAGACCCACAGGAGCCCTGCGTCTTGTCTCACCTCTTTCCAAGTCCCCCGTCGTGGGCTGTAGCTCCCAGCCTTTACGCCCAGGCCTGCTGCTACCATGTCACGTGCCTTCCACAGAAGTCTAATTTTCAAAGAATCAAAAAGCAAAACATGCACTTATGATTTCAGTGTATTGAGTCCAACTTGCTCTTTGATCGTTTCAAAGGCACTTCAGGGTGTGAGAGAGCCTTAGAATCAGCTTCTTCAGCATGAATCCTCCTGGAAGATGGGTGATCCCTGAGCAGAGCTGTGTAGAGAAGGATGATCTGAACGGTGCTGGCCCCAAGACACCCCGGAAAATTGGGAGACTTGAAGCAAACGACTTAACTTCCCTAAACCCAACTTTTCTTTCCTGAAAAGAACACAATTATATGAAGGTACTGTTGAAAGTTCATGAAAAATGGAAGCAAAAAGATAGGTTTATTTTTGCTGCAAAGTTTTTTAAATCCATGCATACAAAGGGTCTTCAAAAATTTCCTGGAAAAATATTTAATCTAAAAAAACTACACAAGATTTAAAATTTTTTTGCATCAAAATCCAAACATTTTTCTCTCTAAAATTAACTAATTATTACTTATTTGAGAGGCATGGAGAGAAAGAAAAAGATGATTTCCCCTGTACACAGGTTTACTTCTCAAATGCCTACGATGGCGGGGTCTCCCATGTGCTGGCAAGAACCCAATCACTTGAGCCACCACCAACACCCACAGGCTGTGGGCATCTTAACAGGAACCATAACCACTAGGCTACATGCTCACCCTTAACCTTATCTTTTAATTCAGTTTTGCCATGAACTTTTTGAAATACCCTCATACTTAACTCATGAGCTTCTATGAGGTCTGAAGATGATGTATGTGAAAAGGATTCAATTCATGAAGACATTTCTAATATCACCTTGACATCTGCACTTCTGGAAAAGCAAGGATTGGGCTTATTTGGCTGTTTGGATCCCAAGGGGGAAGGTCGCCTCATTGTCGTCCCACTGCCCTGCTATGTCCGGCTCTCTGTGAGCTCCCGAGGCCAAGCCCGTGTATGGCTGCAGCGTTCCTGGGCCAGCACCAGCACTGTCTGCTGAGCACGTGACCTCCACGGTGGCACCGCTCTCCAGCCAAGCCGGGAGATCAAGCCTCTGCACTCAGGCAACCTTGCAGCAGCTCCACGGAGCGGGAGAAATGACCCCTTCCTCCACTGCCCACTGCCAAACCATTAACATGGGATATGGAGATCCTGGCAAATGCAGAGGAAGTCCATAAACCCTAAGGAGCTTCCTGATGCTTCCTGTTGCTACTCTCCGCAATTATACCATGAGTCAGGCTAGCTGGAGTCCCAGCCCAGCAGAGGCACCGTCTGAGCAGCAGTCAGACCTTTCCCCCACCAGCCCAAATCTCCACCACTTGGCCCTCCCTCCATATCCACTGTGCCTTGCTTTATGAAAGACCACTGCGGGGCTGCTGCTGTGGTGTAGCGTGTTAAGCCACCGCCTGCAATGCCAGCATCCCATATGGCCGCCGGGTCGTGTCCCAGCTGCTCCACTTCTGACCCAGCTCCCTGCTAATGCACCTGGGAAAGCAGCAGAGGATGGCCCAGGTCCCTGCACCCATATGGGGGACCTGGAGGAAGCTGCTGACTCCTGGCTTTGTCCTGGCCCAACCTTGGCCATTGTAGCCATTTAGGGAGTGAACCAGCAAACGGAAGGCCTCTCTCTACATGTCTGTCGGACTCTCTCTGTCTCTCTCTAACTCTGCCTTTCAAATAAATAAAATAAATCTTCCTAAAAAAATTAAAGGACAACTGAGGGAGAATAAGGCCTTCCATCCTCCCTCGTTCCTCCCTCAAGTAGTAATTGAACACTTATGTCCCAGTGACTGTCCTAGATGTTGAAGAGGTGGAGTCCTCCAAGACCCCTGAGACTCCTGGGCAACAAACAAGAAACAGCCGCTGACCGTCCAGTGTACAGGGAACTAGGACGGAGCAAAGCACAGGCTGTGGGAACACACGAGGGTCTGGAAGCTCGGCTGGGCAGAATGCAGAGGGCACAGCCACAGAAGGCTTTCTGCAGGGTGGAGTTTAGCTCCTGCAGGGAGAATCGGCGTTAGGGAGAGGAATCAAGGAAATGGGGGTGGGGGGAGCGTATTCATCAGGACACAGGAACGAAGACCACAGCATGGCCCGTGCAAGACATCAGGAAGGAGGTTCCACGCTGCTGGGAGCAGGGAAGGGAAGCTGCTGCAGTGGGGTGGGGGTGCTGGAGAGACAGCCCCCCCATTATCCACGTCCTGCTTCTCAGACAATAAAGCTGAGGCCTGGGGTAGGCAAATCATGCAGCAGGCGATCGGCTTGTCTTGACTGGATCTGGTCCCCTGATTCACAGAACGGAGGAACATTCCACTTCCCAAATGGCAGGGATTCCCAGGCCCCACTGTGCTGGAACTCACTTTCCCACTGTCCTCCCTGACCTGTGCTGTCCTCCCCACAGTCCATCAAAGGTGACAGAGACGGTCACTGTCCCCTTGCTAAAGAGGGCGGCGGTGGCTCTGAGACGCTGACACATCAATCAGGATGCGCCGCTATGGTCTGACGGGTCGCCCCCTCTGCCCCCCACCTCACAGGCTGAGTGGTACCGGAAGCCAGGTCATCAGCGGGTGATGAGGTCCGGCAGGTGGAGCGCTCGTGAATGGGATCCGTGTCCCTACAAGAGACTGAGGGAAGGCCACCATGCCTCCCACCACGGAGGACGCGGCGACAAGCTGCTGTCTGGGAGGAGGGGGCCCTCCTCAGACACGGCCTGTGCTGGTGCCAGGTCTCAGCCTTGCAGCCTCCAGCCTGGTTTCTGCGGTATTTTGTCACCGCAGCCCAGACTGACTGGACTCCCCGGACTGCTGTCACACAGCTTCCCAGAAGATCTCTTTGGAGAGTTTAAAACCCCAAAGCCAGGCCGGCACTGTGGCATAGTGGGTAAAGCCGCTGCCTGAAGTGCCAGCATCCCATATGGGCACCAGTTTGAGTCCTGGCTGCTCCACTTCCAATCCAGCTCTCTGCTATGGCCTGGGAAAGCAGTAGGAGATGGCCCAAGTGCTTGGGCCCCTGCACCCACGTGGGAGACCTGGAAGAAGCTCCTGGCTTTTGGCTTCGGATTGGCAGAGCTCTGGCCATTGCAGCCATTTGTGGAGTGAATCAGTGGATGGAAGACATCTCTTTCTCTCTCTCTCTCTCTCTCTCTCTGCCTCTGCCTCTGCCTCTGCCTCTCCTGTAACTCTGCCTTTCAAGTAAGTAAATAAATCTTTAAAAAAAAAAAAAACTCAAAGCCCAGAAATACCCTTTTGAATGTCATTCTTGGTATCAAGAATAGAAGCTCCATAACCCACATACTTTCCCTTTGAGACTAATTTTCTTTAAGATTTATTTATTTATTTGAAATACAAAGTTACAAAGGTAGGGGGAGAGAAAGAGAGATCTTCCATCTGCCGGCTCACTCTCCAAATGGCCACAATGGCTGGGGCTGCACTGATCTAAAGCCAGGAGACAGGAGCTTCTTCTGGGTCTCCCACTTAAGTGCAAGGGACCAAGGACTTAGGACATCTTTCACTGCTTTCCCAGGCGCATTAGCAGGGAGCTGGATCAGAAGAAGAGCAGCCAGGATGGGAACAAGTGCCCATAGGGGATGCTGGCACTGCAGATGGTGGCCTAATCAGCTGTGCTGTAGCATCAGCCCCATGATTCATGTGAATATCCATTGATATTCTTTTTTTTTTTAATTTGAGAGGTAGAGTTACAGACAGGAGAGGGAGAGACAGAGAGAAAGGTCCTCCTTCTGTTGGTTCACTCCCCAAATGGCCACAACAGCCAGAGCTGCACGATCAGGAGCCAGGAGCTTCTTCCTGGTCTCCCATGGGTGCAGGGGCCCAAGCACTTGGGCCATCTCCTACTGCTTTCCCAGGCCACAGCAGAAAGCTGGATTGGAAGAGGAGCAGCCAGGACTAGAACCGGCGTCCATATGGGATACCAGTGCCACAGGTGGAGGATTAACCTACTGCGCCACAGCACCTGGCCCCAATGATATTCATTCACCCTATCAAGGTAGAAACCTAGGCAGCATTTACTATTTGCAGAATTTCTTTTTGAAGAAGTTATGTCTGTCTTTCCAATTATAATGAGTGAAGCACATGTCAAACTAAATCATTCTGGCCCCATTTTCTGTTTTGTTTTGTTTTTAAAGATTTATTTATTTGAAAGACAGAGTTAGAGAGAGGCAGAGGCAGAGAGAGAGAGATCTTCCCAAATGGCCACAATGGCCAGACCTGGGATGATCCGAAGCCAGGAACCTGGAGCCTCTTCCGGGTCTCCCATGCAGGTGGACAATTGGACCATCTTCTATTGCTTTCCCAGGCCATAGTAGAAAGCTGGATTGGAAGAGGAGCAGCCAGGTCTTGAGCTGGCACCCATATGGGATGCCTGCACTACAGGTAGCAGCTTTACTCACTATGCCACAGCGCCAGCCACTCTGTTTTTTCAGTCATAATGGTTGTGATTGAATAAGGTGTAATTCTGATTCAAAATACATCACATAGAGTGGATTCTCTTTTCTCACATGAACAAACAACATCTGAAAAACAGAACATTATGACGTCTATAGCCTATATTGCAATTTTTTCCTAAATCATTTTATCTTGTTTAAAATGACAACTTCAGAAGCCTTAATTGTTTAATTCAGCATATTTTATGGTCTGATATATATATATGTAAATATATACCTCCACTCTTTATTTATTCTGCCACATAGAATCAGTTTCATAATATGTGAGGGTCAGTGCAAAATGAGAATATGAGGGCTTTTGAGCAAAAGCTAAGCATTTTCTAGATGGTGACGGCACTAACCCCGCCTTTCTGAGTGTGACTCCCCGTGTGACTGCACAGGCCCCCAGCCGTGCGGCTGGCTCTGCGTGCAGCAGAGCATGGCCAGGTCCTAGGAGTACAGTCGTGTCTGCTGAGCCAGCAGATGTGGGCTGTGCCCTCCCTCTGCAACTCACAGGGGGATGCAGCGAAGGGCACAGTCACTCTGAAGTCGATGAGCGCTAAGCTCAGGGGGTCCTCCGTCATCTGGGAGCACCTCGTCTCCCCCTGAGAAAACGAAGACTGCCCTTCCCAGCAGGCCCAGCGTGGCAGGGAGAGTGCGAGCAGCCAGAGGAAGAGGATGCAGCTGTCCCTGGGTACCCCAGGGGCTTCATTACAGACTCCCTCCAGGATACCAAAACCCATGATGCTCAGGTCCCTCACATAAAATGGCATAAAACTTGCACACAACGTGCACGCATTCTCCTACTACACTCAGTCATCGCTAGACTACACTACTTATACTATCTCATACGCTACCTGAATAGGTGTGACACTGTATTGTCTAGGGAATAATGACAAGAAAATGAAACCCACATATGTCCAGTGCACCTGCGTTTGTTCTTCCACAATGTCTCTGATCCAGTTTGTGGACTCTACAGATGTGGGACTCCTGGGTGATATCTTCATGGAGGGCTGACTGTTGTGTCCAGGAGATTGGTGGAAAGACTGGGGTGTGGCATGTCTAGGAACCACGCCAGAAGGCTGTGGGGATGCCTGAGGGGTGGCTGCCGAACAGTCCACAAGGGAGGTTAGGTTTTCATCCCTCGGGCAGTGAGAAGCTCTGAATGGGTTCCTTGGGCTACTCTCAAATGCACAAGGAGCCAGGATGGAAAAAAAAAAAAAAAAGTCATCACTGGTGGTGTCAGTGGAAGAAGATCAAGCTGGCCTTCCTGGAAAGGAAGAAGCAGGAAGCCAGCCCACAGAGCGGCCCTGGCAGGAAGTCCTGGTTTGACAAGTCATTTGTCTTTTGCTCTGGGCCGTGGAGCTGGTGTTACTCAGCATTCCCCACTCAGCAGATGGGAAGAGGAAGAGACAGATCCTTCTTCTTCCTCTGTCAGAGCTCCATCATGGACAGTGAGTCCAGGCCGTGTCGGCACACATGGAGGGTGCCCTCCATGGAGACTCCGGAGCTGCTGCACATGGCTGTGCCTGCTGGCAGTCACGTGCTTACCACGTGCCTTCCCTACAAGACTCTGGGCTGCCTGAGAGCAAGGAACACCTTGCGCATTTTCCAATTCTAGTTCCCGACAAGGTAAGCCATGAGTGTATTGGTAAACTGAGTTAAACTACACTAAATGCAGTTACATCCAGAGAGCCCATTGCTTTGGGAGGGTGTATACTAAACATATATAACTTCTATAATGAAACAGCTTTTTGAGTTCTGTGCCATTGGCTTTAAAACACACTTCTGGGACCCAATATCCTTCTAATTTGGGAGCTATCCAGAAATGATCAACACACATGTCCACTTGGTTCTAAGATTCCTGGCAGACAGGTCTATGAATTTGCAATGTTGATTTCCCACAAGGCATGCAGAGAGTAAGTAGCTCATTATCCAGTGAAGCTGTAGTTTGGGCGCGCGCGCGCGACACACACACACACACACACACACACACACCTCATGCTTATTTTTTGCATTACTAAAAGGTTTTACCAGAAGAGATTGGCATCATTTAAGTGTGCAACAAAAGTATAAACAGCAAAGCCCTCTGCCATACATATGATCCATCTCAAAGGCAGGTGAATGTCTTTGTTACACATCAGAAATCATAAGGTGGACGATAGCATTATTTAGTAGAAACATTTCCCCGTGCAATGTTTAACAGAAAAGTATATAAAGAAGTCTTCAAACTTGAAAAAGACATGTGAAATGATTTAGATAAAATGCTGTAACTGTAAAATCCATTCGCAGAGGAAATGTTCTGGAATAAGTGATTTTCAAGAAGTATGATTTTATGATCTGACACCTGAAAAGTAGTGGAACAAATGAAAGACTTGCTCTACTCCAGAGCGATACTAAGGAGCCAGCGGGAGGGCATTTAGTGACCCACCTGTAACTACAGCCGCCGGAGGAGGAGGGGGTGGGGTTTCTGAGGACCCAGACAGAGCTGGGACCTTCTCTGCTCCATTTCCAGGTGCACCTAGGTACAGTTCAAAGTCATCTTCTATCTTTAAAAATTTGTTTTACTTATTTGAAAAGCAGAGCATCAGAGAGAGAGAGAGAGAAGGAGAGAGAAAAAGAGAGAAAGATCTTCCATCTGCTGGTTCACTCCCCAAATGCGCACAATGGCCAGGGCTGGGCCAGTCTGAAGCCAGGAGCCTAGAGCTTCATCCGGGTCTCCCACATGGGCGGCAGGGGCCCAGGTACTTGGGCCATCTGCTGCTGCTGTCCATTAGGGGAGTTGGATCAAAAGCAGAGCAGGGGCCAGCGCTGTGGTGCAGCGGGTTAAAGCCCCAGCCTGAAGTGCTGGCATCCCATATGGGTGCCAGTTCGAGTCCCAGCTGCTCCACTTCCAGTCCAGCTCCCTGCTGTGGCCTGGGAAAGCAGAAGAACATGGCCCGAATCCTTGGACCCCTGCACCCATGTGGGAGGCCCGGAAGAAACTCCTGGCTCCTGGCTTCAGATGGGCGCAGCTCCAGCCATTGCAGCCATTTGGGGAGTGAACCAGTGGATTGAAGACTTTTCTCTATGTCTACCTTTCTAACTCTTTCAAATAAATAAAAATAAATCTTTATTTATTGTGGGGAGCAACTCGGACTAGACTGTTACTGGAATTAAGACTTATTCTATGCATCTGCTCTCCCACAATATGGCGCTGGGAGAGAAGAAAACAGCTTCTACACAGCTGCCTCCAGTTCAGCCAATAAACTGTAGGACTTGCTCCTGATTGGAGGAGAGCAGCGTACTCGGCGTGTGGGCAGCCGAGTTGGGATTGGCGGAGGAGGACTATAAAGGAGGAGAGAGACGGCATGCACCAGGAACATCTAAGGGGAACATCTAAGGGGAACACCTGTGCAACCCCCGAGAGAGCCGGCCAGCGGTGTGCTGCTCCCCTGCGGAAGTGGGGAAAGTGGCCAGGGGGAACCGCCCTTCCACGGAGGTGGAAGGGTCGGTAGCCAACCCGGGAAGAACCAGCAGCAAACCCGGGAAGGGCCGAGCAGACGAAAGAACAGCGCAGGGTCCTGTGTCGTTCCTCCATGAAGAGGGGGAGCGACATAATGGTGCCGTGACTCGGATATGAAGCCTAGGCAGGGTTTAGTGTTGCTCCTCCACGAAGAGGGGGAGCGACAATTTATTTATTTATTTATTTTTACAGGCAGAGTGGACAGTGAGAGAGACAGAGAGAAAGGTCTTCCTTTGCCATTGGTTCACCCTCCAATGGCCACCACGGCTGGCATGCTGCGGCCGGCGCACCGCGCTGATCCGAAGCCAGGAGCCAGGTGCTTCTCCTGGTCTCCCATGGGGTGCAGGGCCCAAGCACTTGGGCCATCCTCCACTGCACTCCCTGGCCACAGCAGAGAGCTGGCCTGGAAGAGGGGCAACCGGGACAGAATCCGGCACCCCGACCGGGACTAGAACCCGGTGTGCCAGCGCCGCAAGGCGGAGGATTAGCCTAGTGAGCCGCGGCACCGGCCCTAAAAATAAATCTTTAAAAAATTATTTATTTAAAAATAAATCTTAAATAAAAAAAAAAAGCAGAGCAACTGGGACTCAAACTGGCTCTGATACGGGATGCTTGCTTCACTTAACCTGCTGTGCCACAATGCCAGCAAAAGTCATTTTTAGCATTCTATAAACAGAGATGCATATTCCTGGTAGGCCTTGGGTGTCTGGAATACAAATTCTCCATTTTATCACTGGTCAGATTCTCCCTTCCTGAGGATCCCGTCCACTTCGCCTTCATCCCTGGAATCTGCCATTGGAGCCCAGGCTCTACTGCGGTCACCAGACCCTGCTGATCACCCCACTACCCGACACCTCATTCCTGTCACTCCATTCCCGTGAGCAGCATTCTCTCTGCGTGAAAACAAGCACTGCCGTTTCTTCACGTAGGAAGGGACCTGGGAGACCATGCAACAAAAGAAGCCAAGTGCCTTGGCGGGACTCTGCAAGCACACAGAGCCAGCAGATGCCTTCTCTGTTTAGCCCAGGATCTGCAGATACAACTGGCTTCCTGCAGGCTGCTCCCCAGAACTTGGTGTGTCAGCAATGGAACTCTGGACCACACGAAGAGGAAACTTGTAGATCCATCTTGTGAGTTCATTTCCCTGGTAGCAAGAATCTTAATGCTTCCTGATCTTGACTGATCTTTATCTACGCGGATGCATACATTTTACATTGCTATAATCAGCACACGTGCTGCTTGCCATATAACTTTTTTGTTTCATTGCGACAGCCATGTGTGAACACTTGCCCAGCCTTCCAGAGCAGGCCTGGCCAATAAAACTTCCTGTGATGACAAAAATGCTCGCCACTCCTGCTAGGATGGTAGCTGCTGGCCACCGTGTGGCTCGGGAGCACTTGAAGTGGGGCTGGGCCACTGAGGAACTGCATTTTTTATCTTATCTCATTTCAATTCATTCAAATGCAAGTTCACACAGGCACTTAGGGCTAGAGACCTCTGTAAGCCTCCACAGGCTTCTAAGAGACCTCATTCTTTCACACAGCAGATCCCTTAAGACTGCATTGTGCTGATGGCCCGGCTTGCTTTATGGTTTCTCTGTCCTTGAACATTCAGAGTGCTTTTCATTTCTGCTATTACAGCAAATACAGTATTCGCTACAGATTTATACACACTGCTATACAAACTGTTGCTTCTATTGTTTTCCTTCTTTTGATTTATTGGTTTAACATCCTGCAAATAAAATTACAACTGGGTCATGTTTTGAGTGAGATATTCCTCAAAACCCTCCAAGAGGCTCAGTCTGTCTCCCTTTCCCCTTTATCCTCTCCTGATACACCCTAGGGAGCTAGACACTGCAAAGTCCTCTGCTGGGGCCGCTCTCAGCCTTTTTTCTCCCCTCACCCCCACCCCGTCCTCACCATCTCACACCTATGGACGTGTTCCTTTCCCCCAGGCCAGCTATTTATTTATTTATTTATTTATTGGGACAGGCAGAGTTAGACAGTGAGAGACAGAGAGACAGAGAGAAAGGTCTTCCTTTGCCATTGGTTCACCCTCCAATGGCCGCCGCGGCCGGCGCGCTGCAGCTGGGGAACTGCGCCGATCCGAAACCAGAAGCCAGGTGCTTCTCCTGGTCTCCCATGGGGTGCAGGGCCCAAGCACTTGGGCCATCTCCACTGCACTCCCTGGCCATAGCAGAGAGCTGGCCTGGAAGAGGGGCAACCGGGACAGAATCCGGTGCCCCAACCGGGACTAGAACCCAGTGTGCCAGCACCGCAGGCAGAGGATTAGCCTATTGAGCCGCGGCACCAGCCCCAGGCCAGCTTTTCCCTGTGCCTTGTCCTTAGAAGCAAAGACACAGCCCATTTAGATCCAAGGGACTGCTACTACTCCAGACAAAAGAGAAAGCTCAAGGATGGTCCAAAAGCTTGCTGTCTGGACCAGACCCCCTCTCCCCTCCCCCCGGCCGGAGATGCAGAGGAGCTGCAAACACAGTATTTGAGGCCAGAGACATGTTGACATTCACTGCTCGGAGCAGCCTCAGCGCACTCTCGGGCTCTTCACGCTTCTGTGCATCCCTGACTCACTGTCTCAGTCACCTCCCTGTCTCAGTCGTCCACAGAGGATGGTCAAAACTGCTGCAGAGGAGTGGGCGCTGTGGCATAGCGGTAAAGCTGCTGCCTGCAGTGGGCACCAGTTTGAGTCCCGGCTGCTCCACTTCCCATCCAGCTCTCTGCTAAGGCCTGGGAAATCAGCAGAAGATGGCACAAGTACTTGGGCCCCTGCACCCATGTGAAGGAAGCTCCAGGGACCTGGCTTCAGCCTGGCCCATTCCTGACCATTTCAGCCATCTGGGAAGTGAACCAGCAGGTGGAAGATCTCTCTCGCTTGCTCACTCTCGCTCTCGCTCTCACTCTCTCTCTCTGCTTCTCTGTAACTCTGACTTTCAAATAAACAAATAAATCTTTAAAAAAAAAAATGCTGCAGACAGAAGAGAACCTCAGCCTCATCGAGTAGAAGACACGAAGACCACAATTTTCAGGTCTCTTTGAAGAAGGCTGCAAAACCTGAGCTATTTCCACTCGGGTTTTCAGGTGAACAAAGTCCAATCTGGAGTCAGTACTAAGGGGACATAATTGTGGAACCCTGGACTCAGGAGGCCATAGAAGAAAGAACTCGGGTAATGCTTTACCAATAAAGGAGGGATACAAAAGTAAGGAAAGTGGCACTAGCTCATAGGAGACAGCTAAGTGAAAGAGACTGTTAAAACCGCGAATAAGCAGACAGCGAGAACCCACCCACGGCAGCTGTCCTCCGAAGCAAAGAGAGCTTGAACAATTGTCAGTTCATGGATATTCCAATCAGAGCAAAGGGAAGGGTTATTTCATGATTCTCATGCTTGTCTCCACAGGTAACTGTCATGTGGGGAACCAGACTAAGTTAACCCATGGAAGAGAATGAGAGCCCAGATCGAGCCAAACCTGAAGCCCACAGATCTCTGGAATTTGGGGCTTTATTCTAACTTCTTCTCTGTGAGTGGGGCCCAGAGCCCATTGCATTGTGTGGTTAGTGAGTTGTTCCAAAGAGATCTAGTCTTGCAGAGATGAGTGGCAGAAATTCCTTCTCTCTGAGGAAACAGAGCACTAATTGTTATGCCTAATGACAATATAGTGAAAACAGGAAGAGAGGGTGCTGGAAAACTCAGTTGTTGTCTACCACTTTGGACTTTGATGGATGTCAGCTTCCTTATGATAGAATAAGAGTGTCTGAATAGACAGGTGATTGTGAAACTGAATTTTGACTCAACAAGTAATTTTAAACCTAATTTGACAGCATACACCTTTCCCATCTTCTCATCCTGAATTAACTGTTACAAGAGTACCAAGCTCAGAGAGAGCTCATATGAAACTGGAGGTGATCTGGCTGGAAAAGAACCCTCCGTCTGGCTTCCCTCCATCCTCCCCAGGAAGACCCAGAAGCACCTGCAGGGAAGCCCAGGGACCCGGGGGCACAGTCTGAGTGCCTCGGACTAGGAGCTCCCTGGGTCCCTTCCTGCTTGGACGCTCGAGAGAGCTCGTGCAGGATGCAAACATGAGTTCTCTATGTTGTTCACAGCCTTCCACTGCTGTGACGCACCCACACCTGCTTAACATCTAAGCTGTGGTCATTCGTGTTTGGGGGAAAAAAAAAAAAAAAAGACAGCTCCTGGCTCCTGGCTCCTGGCTCCTGGCTCCTGGCTCCTGGCTCCTGGCTTCAGCCTGGCCTGGTCCTGGTTATTGAGGCCATTTGGGTATGGAAGATTCTCTGTCTGTCTCTGTCTCTCTGTCTCTATCTCTCTCAAATAAATAAGTACATCTTTAAAAATAAAATAAAATCCGGAGACAAAGCAGCTGCTGGCTCTGCACCACCACCTGTGGCATCCCCTCCGTGGGAGTTCCTGGATTATCAGGAGGTCTGGGCACAGGTAGAGGGCTCACTGGCATCCGCTGTCCCCGACTCACTGCCTCTGTCCAAGCCCTCTGAGCCACCGCGCTTGAAGCCCCCGTGCAGAACATTTGCTCGCTTGGTTCTAGGGAAATGGTTGAGTGAAAACATAAAAGGCGGAATGAAAGCCCACCCAACAGACTATTACCACTGCATTTCAGATTGATGAGGGCAGGGAGTGAAGGTGGACAGCAGAAGGCAGAACTGTTCCACACGCGAGGAAAACGTGTCACTGCCAAGTGAAACGTCAGAGAGCCAGCAGCAAGGTCCCCTGGGGCTGCTTCTGTAGGTGACAGAGACAATTCCCGAAGCAGGAGGGCTTGGCCACACTCAGGATGCACGTGACTCTGCAGCAACCCAGAGAAACAGAGACGCCACACAGATTATCGCTTCAGAAACCAAACTCACAGTCGCATGTAGAACACTTAAAAAGCACAACGGGACCGGCACTGTGGCGCAGCAGGTTAAAGCCCTGGCCTGAAGCGCCAGCATCCATATGGGCGCCAGTTCTAGGCCCGGCCGCTCCACTTCCGATCCAGCTCTCTGCTGTGGCCTGGGAAAGCAGCAGAAGATGGCCCAAGTCCTTGGGCTCCTGCACCCACGTGGGAGACCCGGAAGAAGCTCCTGGCTCCTGGCTCCTGGCTCCTGGCTTCAGATCGGCGCAGCTCCGGCCATTGCAGTCATCTGGGAGTGAACCAGCAGATGGAAGACCTCTCTCTCTCTGCCTCTACCTCTCTCTATAACTCTGTCTTGCAAATAAAATAAAATAAATTTTTAAAAATGCACAAGAAAAAAGCTCAGGAAAGCTCAGTAATTCACCATCATTCATATGCATGAATGTATTTTTCTTAAGATTGATTTATTTATTTGAAAGGCAGAGTTACAGAGAGAGAAGGAGACAACCACACACACAGATCTTCCATCCACTGGTTGACTCCTCAGATGGCCACAACAGGCTTAAGCCAGGAGCCAGGAGCTTCAGCCGAGTCTCCTACATGGGTGCAAGGACCAAAGCAGTTGGGCTATCTGCTGCTGCTTTTCCCCTGTCACTAGCAGAGAGCTGGACTGGCAGTGGAGCAGCCGGGACACGAACCAGCACCCATAAGGGATGCTGGCATCGCAGGTGGAGACTCCACCCACTATGCCACGGCACTGGCCCCTACACAAGGCCGCTTATGGAAAAAGCAAAATGGCTGCCAACAACACCAGCCCACAGCCCCCTCCTCAGAGCAGAAGCTACAAATCCTCTCTGCTGTCCCTTGGAGGAAAAAAAAAATCTCAGGTAGGCATCTGGTTGTCTCCAATTCAGCCCCATGGACACGGTAAAACCCCACAGAAGCCAGGAGGGCTGCGTCCTCTGGCTGGCTTTGCTCCAGCGTTCACCCAGGGCTCAGGGAGAGCCGGCCAGGAAAGCCCCATCTGATGTCTGAGGCACAGGAAATGCATTTCCCACAGTAGAGGGGAGCTGTTTAGAAGGTGGGAACCATTCTCCCAACACGCTGACCAGCTCCAGCTATGGGCTCCCATCGGAGTCTGCCATCCCGACCCATGCCAAGGGTCTTGGGCCCTACCCTGCAGCAGCTCCCCTGTCACTGCGCACCCGCCCTCCTTTCTCAGCACTGAGAACAGAACCCCCATCACTTCCTGTGTGATTTCCCTCTCCCCACCGAAGTGCGAACACTCCCTGTGCTGCCTCCTAGGCTACGCATTTGAGTGCAGGGTCCTGCCTGCGGCTCAGTCTTCATCCCAGTGACCTCAGAGGACGAGAGTGAGGACGGAGGAGTGGGGAAAGCTCGGCTTAGGCACCTGATATGCTTGAGTTCAAATTCTAAGTCAAATGACATCCACCTTCTCTTCTGCCGCCCATGGACAACATCTTGGAGCCTGCGCTTCCTCATCCATTCAACAAGATTCAAGTAAATGGTTACTTCAGAGAACTCCAAGTGTCAGCTCTGCCCCCATCCCAGGTCCCTCAACCTTCCAGGATCATCCCTCTCTTTCATACCAGAAGAGCAAAAAGATTGCTGGAGAATACACATAATGTTCTCATTTGCTAAAGGAAAAAACAGATACATTTATGCACCTCTTTCCTTTCCCTAGACTGTTCATAATGCTTAAATATTTACCTGATGTGTTAGCTTTTAAATAAAAATAGAGGAAAAGCATTCACTGTCATTCTGCAGCTGGGTTTCCCATTTCTGTCACATACAATGGCTTATAGTACAACAGGCATCCTTGACCTTCATGGAGTCTCAAGGGCATGCGCTTGCCCTGGTCAACACTGCATGGTGTGGTTTATATTCTCTGCCCCTCTGGGTCACCAAAGACACGTCTTGCTGCCTCTTCTTCAATTCTCTCCTCCTTAAGTTCCACGAACACAAATGTGGGCTGCAGATCCACTGGAGGCTGGAGATAATGGGTTGTCCTGGACCATCTCCCGCTGCTATGGTGGAGAGCCACAGACTGGGAATGCTGTGAAGAAGAGATGTTCGGTTCACAGTTCTGGAGGCTGGGAAGTTCAAGAGCATGGTGGTGGTGGCATCCGGCGAGGGCCTGGGCGCTACAGCATTCCATAGCAAAGGCATCCCAAGGTCAGAAAGTGCAATGGCAACCCAGAGAGGGGAGAAGGGGGTCGGACTCATGGTTTTATCAGGCGCCTACTCCCTGGAAAACTAACCCACTCCCAAGATAAGGCACGAATCCACTCATGAGGGCAGTGCCCGTGACCTAATCACACTCTCCAGACCCCACCCCTCCACCCTGTTGTGCTGGGGATTCCATTCCCAGCACAGGAGCTCTGGGGATGGGGGGGGAGGGGCGGGGGGTCACAAGGAAACCATGGCGTGGGGTGTGGGAACACCCCTATGCATAAGCAATTTAAAATTAAGATGAGACGCACAGGATCCTGAAACCACCCTCCGGCTCCTCCCCAGTGCTTTTTCACCCTTGTCACCATGATCACCCTGGCCTGAGCCTCGGCCATGATCCTGGGTTCTGTCCACCGCCCCTCGTGAGGCCACCTCCACGTCTCTGAAAGTCCTTGCTTGCTTTTCTGGAACAGGGAGAGGCCCTCCCGTAGGTGTGGTTCATTATTGTTGCACTGCCAGAGAATAACTCAAGTGGCAGAGCATGTACAAAAGGGACTTGGGAGTAAACTCTATAACAGAAGGTACTCACACGGACCTGGGGGCGGGCCCAAGCACCTGCACCCCGGGTGGGAGCTTTGCACACTCTTGGCATTCATAGAATGTGGGGAACCTTCTTATTTGGCATCCTGGAAATTTCCATTTGGAGCAAGTGTCTTCAAAGACCACCTGAAGAGCTTCCTGGAGTCAGATCCCCTGGGGGGAAATTCAGATGAATTTTGTGAGTGATGATTGTGTGAGGTGGTTTAATTATGCATAACCTATAATACACCAGGGCCTTTTTGCAAACCTATGTTTCAAGTTACTAAAAACAGAAGGGGCAAGATTGTATGGAGTTCAAAGAAAAGGAGTCAGTGGCTCCACCACACCCAGCCAAATCAAATGACAGCCAGATTCCCAATCAGGCTGGCCCTTAGTGTCCCCAGGGAGGGCTTTTACATGCAGATTCCTGGGTCCTGCCCCAACCCTGGAGGATTTCAGTCTCCAGTGTCTCAGCTTGTGTACTCCCTAAAATACTGCATTGAATTCTGTCACCTCTCACACAATTTTAATTTGACATCTAAATTTTTAGCATTGGTTAAATTGTTGCAAAGAGTATAATTTCTGGCATGTAACATTGACACTTCAGAATAAAGTTTTTATAATAATATTTTCTTAAATGTAGCTAATGGTTTACAAATGTCACATACGGTTATTACTCACCAACATCTTTTGTTAAAAATACATTCAGACCTTTTCTTGAACAATGAGAAATTTTACATTGCTTTTGTTTCTCCTTCAATTTAAATTTCTATTCCACTTCCTTGCAGAACTTTCATCTAAATATAATACTCATATGTTTATGCTTATAAGACTTTTGGTGACAGTACAATATGACTCTACCCCAAATATGTAAGTAAATTGACATTTTAATTTTTAAATTTTTATGTAAAGATTTAAGTGATAAAAGTAATCACTCTAGGTTGAGCTATTATTTAGTGTACAATTTATCGAAAAATACATTATAAATTTTGATAAATGTCAAAGGTAAAGAGTAAAATTCTACTAGAAAGAGCTTAAGAAAATGGATATAAAACTTTAAAAATTAGTGTTAGTATTTATGGCAATTAGCAACAAATTAATAAGTAAATAATTTAGACAATAGATTTAGAATAAACCATTTATTTAAACAATTATATAATTAAATATATTAGTAATTAGGGCACTCTATCAATAAGATAGGGTTTCATCATTAACTATATTCCTTTTTAAAATCTTTAATACATGTAAACTCTGAAAAACATTAGCTCACATATGTAAGTATGTGGAAATGGAAAGGGATTTTTTTTTAAGGCAACATCTCTCAATTCTTTAAATTCCTTGTAAGCCAGCAGTCAAAAGTCACTTAGATGTTATCCACACATTTTGAATGATCAGTCCTCCCGTGTAGTTGAAAGAGAACTGGCAGCTACCACCTTGCGTGGAAGTTTATAGCCCTTTCTTGGATCTGTCTCTATGGTAGACACACCAATAGTTTAAGTCCCCCTGTTTGGTGCCCAAGAGGATTTGTACCCCGGGCTATTGCCCCGTGGTGGGAGCCCACATGAGCAGAAGCCTGTTCACTAGGTTATTTCTAAAGCAGCAGCAGCACCTGGCCTCAGGGCTAAGGTCAGGGTGAGGCCAGAAAAATGCCTGAGGCAGAGTCAAGCTTATTCCATGAGAGGAAAAACCTAAAAGATTCTAGAAAGGGAGAAACTTCCTATTTCTGAAAGACTTGGTGATTTGATTGGCAGGAATCTAAAACACGTCAGTTTCTCACTTACTCCCGTGAAACACCTGAGGCACCCTGACTACAGATGAAAGAGGTTTACTCTGGACACCGTTCTGGAGGTTCAGTCCTGACGCTTGGTCTCTGGTGACCATGCCGCTGCTGAGACTCCCCAGGTGGCACTGGGCATCATGTGAAAGGGATGGGGAGCACACGGCTTGTGTGCACCTGTGTGGTCCCTAGGAAGCCGCCAGGATTCAACCACATGGACCCCTCCCAACAGCCAACCTCATCCAATCTCATCCCTTCCTACCATAATTGGGGCACATTTCCACCCTCAGTACCATTAACAAAACGTGTTGAATTTAGGGGGACAAATATTCAATCCAGAGCACCTCTTGTTGACCATATGGAAAATGAAGCAATTCTTTAAAGTCTTAGACAACAAAAATTTTAACCTAAAATTATACATCCTCTGTGATAGTCTGACTGTGGTTCATCCCCTAGCGGTTCATGTCCCCAGTGTGGTAGCATTGAGGTGGTGGCACCTTTAAGAGGAGGGGCTTAGTGGAAGGTGATTATGTCATGGGGAGCTCCATGGTCATGTGCGGAGAATGCTGTCTCCCAAGAGTGGATCAGGTCTGGCAGGAGTGGATTAGTTCCAGGAGAGAGGGTTAGTATAAAGAGGGAGCCCGGCCCCTCCTGCTGTCTTGTTTCCATGCTCACACTGTGTCCCCTCTGTCCTGGCCTCTTCCCACCCAGGGCCTTCACCAGCAGGACAGCACCAGGCTGTCTGGACTCTCCAGTCACCTGAATCGGGAGCCCAGTAAACTTCTTGTCTTCATCAAGTACCCAGCCTCTGGTATTTTATTATAGTGAAACAAAACAGACGAGGACACCCAGCTGGCATGGAGATGAGAGGAGAAAATCAAGACTTCTGGGATACGGAAGGGGTCAAAAAGTTTATCATCCTCAGCTCCTTTCTGAAGGGGTTCCCTGAGAATGTCTTCCAGCAAAATGAAATTCATTGTAGGGAAAGAGAAAATGGGTGAGGCACAAAAAAACCTGGGGCAGAAATAAGAGTAACTACATCCAAACAATTACCATAGACCATGAGAAAGGACTAATCCATCCGGAACTGAAACCCCTAAAGATTTCTATTTGATAGGAGATGGAGAAAGGGGAAGTTGTCTTATTTGAGAGGCTTACAGCCCTGGCTTCACACTAGACTGCAAGAGAATGATATGTTTCAGCAAATGTGTTACATTTGTTAACAGTAACTACCAGAGGACAGAAACATGGTATATCATTCTAAAGAACTAACAGAAAAAAAAGTGAAGAAGTCCCAAGAAGACTGAATAGAGGGGGATCTCCATCCACCTCAGCCGGAGAAAGTTTTAGAACAAGGAGGGAAGTACCACATTTCAAGACTGTCTGAGGGAAGGCACGAGTTGAAAAGTGATGGTAACTGCAAACAGCTCAGAGACAGAGCGTCAGCAGGAAGAGAGAAACACAGCACGCCTCTGCTGGCGCCACCACGCCTACCCTGGCCCCCTGGTCAGGAGACGCCATCTTGTCTGGAAAACACTCTATGTCTAAAATACACATAAGGAGACTGACTGAGGGAAAAACCGAAGGAAAGAACTCATGAGATCTGCAGACAACACAGACTCTGAAGGCAGCAGAGAGAGAGGAACAAACAGGACGCCTGCTGCTGCCCAGCGCTCCTTCCCCAGCCCCCTTCCACCTTGCAGGCAGAGGAAAGCAGGAAGTAGGAACCCTGCCGCTCCTGCAGATGGGCAGCCATGCCCGTGGGAGGATTCCTCAGTCCCCACCGACTTCAAGTCTAGAGGGCTGACTGGGGTCTGAGCGCCCGCTTTGCTCTAAAGAGGGACCCACACACTCCCTTCCGCTACCTCAACATGCCAGACCCGAGCTGCTGCCAAGAAGCTGCTGAACTCCACCTGTGCCAGGAGAAGCAAGCAGCCCCTTCACTTCCAGAAGCCCCGAGGGACAGCCAGGGCACCTGGCAGGGAGAAAGCAGGCCCCTGTGAGTCCTGCAGCCTCGGGAGTTTGGGCACTGGCCCTGGGGCTGCACTCGCTTGCTCTGTGTCATCTAGGAAAATTCCCTGTGGCTTCTTGAGGCTGCTCACCAGCAGCAGCCGGGACAACAACCCCAGGGGACCAGACCTGAGGAAGCTGCTTCTGCAGGTCTTACCACAGGGTGCTGGCGGCCCAGAACACAAGCCCCGGCATCACCCTCGCGTGCCCTGCGAGAGCTGGGCCAGTCCCCTCTGTGCCCTGCAACTCTGGAATTCTGAATGCTGATGCTATAACCCTAGAGTAACTCACACTCACGTGGGGGATCCAGAGGGCTATGCCTGGATTCCTCTGCTTCAGATTTCTGACTGCTAGCCCATAACCCCTGAAGTAACTGGCACTCACCCTGTGGTACCTGGATAAGGACCCCACTGTAGCCTGTAGCTCCAGGGCTGTGACTATTACTACCATATTCCTCAGAGTAACTGCAGCATACCCTGTGGGACCTAGGGAAGAATCTACCCGCTCCAGTGTCCCATACCTACCAGTGTACAGTCCTCACCACAGCCTGTACTCACCCCGTGGGACTGGGGCAGGGTCCCCTTAACATGTCCCAGTGCTGGGACTTGGGTTCATGGTGCTTTGAGCCTCAGCATTAGTCACACCCACACAGCAGAGTCTGGGGAAGCTCCTATCCACATCATATACTCTGGGGGCCCTGGCTGTGGGTGCCACGTACTCCAGCATCACTCACGCTTGCCCTTCAGGAGAAGGGGACAACCTTCCCACAGCACCAGAAACATGGCCACAGACATCAGAAATCCTGGTGTGATGAACACCCAACTCCCTGGAGCCTAAAGACACACACCTTTAGACGCTCATCTCCACTTTAAAGTTGTAATACCACCTCCACAATCTGCCGAGGACCAGACAAGTATGGCTGTTGTAGACACTTCCAACACTGGTACTGCTCAAGAAATCACTCAGAGGTTCCATTTCCAGGCTCATCTAGACCAGTCAAATCAATAACCTAAGTGCACCTCACATTCCACCTAACCAAAATGCTCTTTTCCAATGAAACTTACTCCATTAACAAAAGGGAGAGACTGTTACATAAGCTGCACGGAAGTTAATGTAGGGCCACAGCAAACACGAAGAAGCAAGGAAGCATGACACCTCCAAAGGAACACAGTAGTTCTCCAGAAATAGATCCTGATCTGACCTATGAAATATCTGAAAAGGAATGCAAAATAGCCATCCTAAGGAAACTTCATGAGATGCAAGGGAATACAGATAGACAGTTTAAAGAAAGGAGACAAACAATAGATGACATGAATGAGAAATTCAATAAGGAGATAGAAATCATTCAAAAGAACCAAACAGAAATTTTGGAGCTGAAAACTTCAAT